AGAGGTCGGATACAACCTGGACAGGTCACCTACTCACAGGTGCCTTTAAAGTTCTAATAAAGTCAATTTATTAACGTCATGTTTCTTTCATCCAGAAAATACAGGCATGACACAATTTATGTGTTGAGAAAAAACTATCAGCAAGAAGGTAAAAGCAAACTGCAGAAAATCAAGAGGCCTGGAGATGTTCCTCTTAAGGGGGGCCCTCATTATATCAGCAGGGATCACTAAATGAAACAGCATGGCACACTGATAGATGAAGGAGCAATTTCCTGTTGAGTTTTAGTAAAGACATATTTGAAAGAATATTGTACGTTGCCTTATGAAACACAAGCAAAACAAAGAGTGAATGTTAGTTTGAGTGGTCTCCAGTCTGGCCCTAATTTAGATGTGGTTTAAATTTTTAGTATTGTCAGACCACAGAGAGTGCTTTCTCGTGTTCATGTCCGAAAGTGCTCAGTATGGATGGATGTGTTTGCACATCTTCTAAGCTTAATAAACAGAACACCTATCTGGCCTTTTACTCTGGCTGTTTGTGGTGAGGGTGGTGGCTCTCACTTTATTTTAAGTAGAATAAGTTTCAGATTTTGTTACGTGAAATTGACTTCTACTGTTTTTGGATTTTTTTGCTTTTGATGTTACATCGTTTTGTCTTAATTGCCAGACTGTTTCTAATATGCAATAGTGGTTACAGTAGATCATTCTGTTCTCACAGCTTGATGTTAACCAAGTGGGGCTGTGACAGCATATGTGTGGGTTGTAAAACTGGAATGATAGTGGAACTGGGCATCTGTGTGTTCAGTGTTGCCATTATAGAAGACTATACCTCCCCCAGCTCTTATCTAAAGATGACACAACATATTATCACAGCCAGACTCACACATGTCACCCTGTCTGGATAGAGAATGGATGCCATTAAAGATGAGATCATTATTGAAATTTTTCAAGCAGACATGTAACTAAACTAAGCCTTCACATGCCAGTGCTGTCACTGTCCTAATGTACCCGTTTTATTATAGAAATAATGAAATGGGTATATTATAATACAGCATAACTGTGGTGACAGTTATGCTGTATTATGAAAAAGGTCTAGCAACTTTTGTTGCAGACCAAGCACACCCCCTATTGGCAATGGCAATGCCCAGCTGGACAATGTGCCCATGAAAGGCTTCATTAAATGACAAAAAGTCCAAGGCGTTAACCCAGCCTACAAACTCCACAGATCACAATCGGATTGAGTGTCTGTGAGGTGCGCCAGAATAAGCCTGCTCCACGGAGGCCTTATTTTGCAACCCACAGTAAACAAAGGATCTGCTGCCAATGTGCCGATGCCAGAAACCCTCACAGTTTCAGATCCCAGATAGATAGACAGATAGGTAAATAGATAGACAGATGTTCTGTACTGCAACCTACATTGCCTCAGTTTAGATTATTTTAAGCTATAATATATAGAGGGATAAATGAGTTCTTAAACCAGTTTAGTTTGTGCTGTTGAACTTTATACTTTCTGCCTGATATTTAGCAAGTCATACTGAGAGTGGGATATGGGGTAGATTGAATTCTATCTGCGCGTTTAAGCATACACTGGTCGTACACTATAATGATCCTTTTGACCAATAATTTCCATTTCAAGTGTGTTAACTCAGATTTCAATGAATGTTACCAAATCATTCACTTTCTAAAGCATAAACAAACTTCTTTTTCAACTTCATGCAGGTGCAGTCTGCAAAGGATATGCTGTCTCTAGAGGAGTTGAGAAAATACCCAGTCAACAAGGACGTGTAAGGTTAAGGTGTGGGCACCAAGACAATTTGACGAGCTTCTAGATTTGGTTGGTTATGAATAACCACATGACTATGATCAACAGAATTTTTTTTTGTCAAAAAATGATTATCTCCGCCTTGCTCACCTTTAAAATTAGGTGGTTAGTACACCATCTGATAAACTTACTCATTTTTGAATGTCTGTATTGCAATCACAATCATCTGAGTAATTCTGTGCATGGCTGGAAGACTAGCCATTTTTGTTAGCATGTGGAGTAAAAAGAACAGGCTTGCTAACATGGGCGTGTGGAGCTCCAGTGCTAACTTAAGGCTGAGATAGACCTTAACCCACTGAGTCCTATTTGCCACCGGATAATCATAGAGTTGACATCAGATTGTTTAAGCGTCTGAATGATGGGGCTGGAGAGTGTTAAAAATGGTGAGGAAGGCAATAAAAAGCAACTGAGCGTAAGCTGCACTGTCCTCAAGATGTTGTAAAACCAAATGGATAATAGCAGAAACAGCATCTGTACCCCACCTCTGTCTATGAGTAAACCACAGAGGGTCTAGTTTACTGTTCACACCTGATTTCAACACAGACACCATGCATTTCTCCAGGCATTTCATTGTCCAAGTGTTGACAGGTCAGAGGTATTTTAATTGCACAAGGGGGACCTAAACAATGTTAGGTAGCTATGTTTCATGTTGTGGATGATGTGTGTAGCTGTAGCTGTTTAACACTTACTTTATGTGTTAATCAGGGTCCACATACTTGCCAGTATGAGGTTACTAAATCATGACAGGACAAACACACCCAGATGAATAGGATTTTTTAAAGGAAGGTCACTGCAGTGGAGACCAGGTGCATCACTGACACGAGGATGCACCAGTTTGGCTCAAATTTCTGCTGTGACTACTGAACCAAGTGGATCTAACCCGACATCTCTGCCTATGTGAGAGACAGTATAAAAAAGAGAAATTGGGATTTTAGCTGGCTTCCTTGCATCACCACAATAAATGTTTGAAATAAGTTAGTCAATATGTCTATTTTGTGTGCACTTAAAAAAAATCTAGTTTAATGTCTTCCAGTAGTGAAATAAATATCCATCTGCCTTTGACTTAATTGACTGTTTAACTTTAGTGGCAGTTGGGTGTATCAGCATTTATCTAAATTACTACTTCCATCTAAACTAGATCAATACCTCCTTGTGCTTAACAGATTATCTGATGGTGACGTTTGGGCCAAGGCCTGCTAGGCCAGAGCCTATGACAGCTGGAGAACTGCATTAATATGACTGCAGAGGAAAGAGGGATACTGGTCCCTAGAGATGCTCTCTCTCTCTCTATGTGTGTGTGTGTGTGTGTGTGTGTGTGTGTGTGCACATGAGCTGATAACAAATAACTTTAAACCCCTTTCTTTCAGGAGGATATCCCAGCTATCATAAGGAGAGAGCCAGGGTACACCCTGGAAAGGTTTCCAATCTGCCTTTGCCAAACAAACAATTAAATAAATAAATGAATAAATAAATAAATAAAATAAAATAAAAATCCCTGTTTGGCTTCGGGGGATTTCTTCAGTACAGTTGAGTATGGTCAAACAAGTGTACATCCAACTGATCATAGAAGAAGCTACCCTCTTTACATTATATTAAGAGGTGATTGCCAATTTATTCCACTTTGAGAAATGTTGCAGGGTTGATGAAGCATCTGCCAATTTACTTAAGGTGATTAGTCTACATGGAACTCCTCTTGCCACAAATAAACACATAATAATGTTTTCAAATCAGGTACACCTCATCTTCCATGCAGGTCACACTTGCCAGCTGCAATCAGTGCTGATTGCTGGAATCCAATTTTAATAACTAATACTTAAAAACTAGAATCAGACTTTAGGTGATTAACATTCTGGGTCAATGAGTGTATGGCAAAAAGAACAACAAAAAATGACCATAGTTGACCATGACTGTAAACTAGGGCAGAAAAAAAGTGATATTGAATGCCTGAATACCTCTGGAATTAATATAAAGAGTGGAATTTGGAGTACCAGACTCCAGGTGAATAGAGACAAAAGAATGTGAGGACAAAAATATTTTACTTATTTGGCTGTACAAACATGCAGTAAACTACTGCAGAAAAACAACTCAGGTTAAAGATGCATACAAATAAAAGTGTCAGTAAAACCAGAATACAAAACATCGGTGATGAGATCATGTGGCCTATCTTCCTGCCACCATTTCTGTCAGTTTCCCAAGAACCGGTTTAATTCTCTATGTTGTTGTGTTTTATTTGTTGACTTCCTCTATCTTTGCTCTTCTGGATTAACATTTAAAAATAATTCAAACATTTTCTCGAAATGGCTGTTCTGGTCTATTTCTGTAGATGGTTGGGATATGGCACAGGGAGGAGAAAAGAGCTGTACTGCAGCGGAGTCATTGATTTATGAGTCAGGATGGGAAAAGCTACAGTTTTTGTATTTAGAAGCTTCTTTTCAAGAATTCACTGAACTGTAGTTAGCAAAGATATTGCATTAGCATACTTACACGAAGATACTGAAATGGATACCAAAGCATTATACATATCACACCTAAAAAAAACTTTAAAAAAAAACTGAATTCACTTCCCAGACTGGATTAAGATAAAAAGATATAATAAACATGTTTATTAGACATGTCAGCTTGCTAGCTAAATACAAATATAACCTGCTGCATGTCATATAATCAATCTATGTACAAAGATGCAACAACGCAAAGCAATCATTTTGGAAATAATAAATAAGTAAATAAATAAATAAGTGTAGGACATTAATTTACCTGTGTTTACCTTTTTTTTCTCTGTTATGTTTTCTGTTATCTGGGCCATGCAGCCAGTATTCGTCTGACTTTAAGCAGCAACGAACTGACTGGATCTGTCCTTAGTGCTGATTGGTTGTTCTGTATGTAACGCAGACGCAACTGATAGAGCTGTCCGAGGTTCTGATAGAGTGATTTGCCTGGACTCATGCCTGTAGCATATTAAACCATTCCAAGCAGATGTGTAAGACACCAAGAAACACACAATCATATCTCATCTCAATATATTAATACATTGGTGTAATTGTAATTATAACAGTCTATATATATATATATATATATATGTCAGAATACATATATATATATATATGTCAGAATACATATATATATATATGTATTCAAAACCTTAACTTGGTGCTTCCGCTTAGTGAAACCACGCATGTGTTGATCCGTGCTGCAGCAACGTGCATCAGTTCCTCTCTGACCCCAGTGTTAATCTGCATTCAGACTGAGGCTTCGCTGCCTTTCTTGGCTTCTCGATAGTGGAGCAGCTTATTTCTTGGGGCTTCGCTGTTTTGTGCCAGTCTTGTAGGCCCCTGCCAGTGCTGTCGAAACGGCAACACACACGCACGAAGACGGGCGATACGAAACGAAGCTTTTCGACTCGCGTCGATTTTGTTTTGGCTGATTTCACACCGCCGCGCGCTCGCCTCCAGTCTCGATTTGCAGAACGGCTACTGCTAGCGTGCGTAATGTATCGCAGAGAGGAAACACAGTAAATAGACGGACACGTCCATCTGCAAGAAAGAGGAGACGAAGATGGTGATGATGGCTTCGCCAAAATCAGCCTTCAAATGCTCGATACCGATGGCGAAGCCTTCCCTCCCGCTGAAGCTGCTTTTCTGGGTGTTTATTGTCGTGAATCACTCCACAAGGTAAGATATTAACGCCTATTTTTTCTCAAAACCACGACTGTGTTTCGGCCCGTTGGTCAGCATGTTTCAGATTTTTAACAGCAAATATAGAGGTGCCTCCATTCCAACCCTGGCGTGCTATTAAGGGGATCCTGAGCCGTTGGGTAGCTGAGAGGATGTAGTTTTGTATTTAGGGGGGGAAACCGGAGCTTTCGGTGTATATGTGGCACGTTTAATTGCGGTTCCAGTTGAAGTGAAATATTGTTAATAATATTAAAATTGCCTCAGCGATACACGCATGCACATTGTATGTGTGCTACACTCTGTGTATCAATGTGTTGTTGGTGTTTTTAATTTAAAAAAAAATCCCCACAAAGATCTACAGATTGAATATTTGGCTTTGAAAAGCGAATAACAGTGATACACGTTTATACGACGATACCAGTGTCTCCCTCTCAATCTGCCCCGCGTTAGATGTAGCATAGTGGCAGGCTAAGTTGAGTGAAGCTAAGGCTACATTTAGTCTGTTAAGCTGTCTTCAAGAATCAAGTATATTCTAAGAGTCAAAGCCTTGTTATGAACGCACTGGCCGGAGGAGGTCGAAATGGAATAGAGGCCACATGAAAACAATCGGTTGTTATAAAGGCAAACTTGAGGATAAAGAAGGAACCTTTCCTCCCACGTATTTGAAATAAAAAAATAAGCATTTCAAAATGGCAGACAATCACACAGAGAATATAAGTATGAAGGCACAATAAGGAAATGGACAGCACATATGCACTGATCCTTGCCCAACACAGGCACACAACCAAAAACACCTGACATCTCTGCTTTAACTGTGGGCCGAAATTGTGTTTGTTACAAAGACAATGAAAGAGAAGAAAGAAAGCTGTGTGGCTGCTCCTGTGACGACTTCATCCCTGTATAGTGAGATAAGAATACTGGAGAGCAAGCGGATGGTTAGGCTCCTCGCATCGGTTTCCTCTTGTGCTGCTGGAGGGGGAAAAATGGAGGCAGATAAATCAACTGACGTTCAATCACCGTCATGCTGGTCAAAACCTTGGGGCTCCTTGCCCAGATCTACATTGTTAGGCCTGTGTATTTCTAATTGTCTGGAAAAGTAAAGTAGTGTATACAATGCACTTGAGTAAATGCTGCTAATCAATATGTGACCATATGCAGACACCTGTGCGGAGGTCACACTTAAAGTATGACTCAAACTATTTTAGAAGTTTCGGTCCTATGTATGGCATAATGATTAAAATGCATCCACTGACAGGCAGTCATTTATGATTCATGTATGAAAGCTCTTTTATAAGACATCAAGGTCTTTGCATGCATTCAGTATTTTGTGCTACTTTGTGACTCATTGACATTTACTATGTGTAGTGATGTCAGACAGCATCACAATACGTTAACCCAGTCAGTTACTCAGGTAGTGGAGTCAGTTACTGTCACAGATCAAATTTTGCAGAACACCCTCAAGCAGAAGAAGGAGGAATTTGGTTGCAGATTCTTTGGTATTTTCTTCTATGCGTGGGTAGGTAGGTGTCAGATCTATAACCAGGATCCACTAGAAGATTTTCAGGCAAGGGATCATGGGAAGAGGGCCTCGACATGATGGAGTGATGTCAGAATGAGCTAAGTCTGGTGGTACTTACATTATGTGCCATCCCAGATGATAATTTTGCAAACTCAAGCGTGTTAGGTAGCAGATGAAATTCGTTACATAAGTCTAATTTATTTATTTGCTTTATATTTTTAGCGTTCTAACCTTAGCTGCCCTAGGACATGTGAAAATTCTCAGGTCAGAGCATATCGTATATGGTAGAAAATACCATCAAAAATGATTTATTTTGACTCAAAATTGATGTGATTTCTACAACACCGTCATTATGGGACACTGTTTGACCTGAATGCATTTTTTTTTTCAAATATCATGATTAAATGTCTATTTATAATTTAACACTTCTAATGAGTATCTGTCATGGTAGAAATAAAGGGCAGTACTGAGAGTGTAATGAGTGGTAAAACAAATATATTTTAAATTTTGAAACCTTGTCCTCTGAACTTACGTGCAGCACCAGTGTTCTAGCATCAGTATTTATTAACTTCCTGACCTCCCACTGAAGTTGGTGGGACTTAATTGATCCATTTTGTACAGAACAAATGTAACATTATATCTCACTCAATCCATTTTGTGTGAGTGCACTTAAGGCCTGAAGAAGAAGAATGCTTGGATTAACAAAGAAAGTTGATTAACACGTTACGTTGATCTAATTCTTGGACTAGGTGCTGTCTAGCCAGCTAATCTAAAGAAACCCTGACTGTGCTGAACTTGAATGCTTCAGTTCCCAAACACTTGGTAATAAAAGAAGAGGTAATAGAAGGAAATGGTAAACACGGTCCTATCTTAACTTTCTTTAAACATGTTGCTAGCACAGTCAAAATGACCTTATAGCTTTCAGTTACATTTTAGAAAAATGGAAAGAATATATAAGATAACATTTATAACGCACACTGTGGTAATTTCTAAAGGCTTTCTGTGTTTTATTGTGGAACAAACATAAAGTTAGTTAGCTAGTGCCATTTATTCAGCACTGTGATTTCTAAGGCAACAAAAGCAAATTAAACTGTAAGTTAAAAGATATGTTGATGCTGTCTGTTTATTCAACTAGCGCCTTTGTAGAGTTCATTTTCTGACTACAAAAATCTCTCAAGCAGACGTATTTTCTGTACATAGGATGTAATCTATGTCCATTCAATTTTTGAGCTGCTGTTAAGTATTAATAATGTGGGAAACATTTCACTACACATTTTATGCTAATTGTATAAAGTAGCTGTTAGTATGTTAGTATGCCCAGAATATGTTGCATTGCAATTATCCCTATCTGCCACCGATTCTCATCAGTTTGTCAGTATTTTTTGACAGAATTCCATCAAATTGGAAACCTACAGTGAATTAAATGGGTCAGCCAAACTGCCATACATCATCTGCTTCTTGTCACTTGGAAAGGGTCAGGAGTTTTGACAAACTGCCATGTATTCCATAATTAACATCATGTGAATTTGTGTCTTAGAATTCCTAAAAGTCAGTTCATAGCAAAGACATGTTGCCATTTTTATTTTATTTTATTTTTTCTGCCTATAGTGAAGACAGTTTGACAGGTCAGTAAAAGAAACAGGCAACACTCATGGTTACCTTTCTACAACTGAGAAACTCTGGTAGATATTGAAGTCAAAGACATTTTGGAATAAAGGTGGAAGGGCTTAAGTTGGGCACTTTGGCCTCCTGTTGTTATATATATATA